ACCACAGTTACTCAAACCCATCAACATTAAGGCCAATAAATAATCACTCGTTACACAAACAAAAAATAAATAAATAAATAAAATAAATAATAAATAGGATAAAATGAATAAATAAAGAAAAAAAAAAACAAAAAAACCGTACCGTGACATCGGTAGGCGCCGACGGAGAACCGCGCGGACCCAAAGGACCACATTGCCCTAAATTATCTAACGCAGGAATTCGGACCCACGTTCCACGATAGCCCCCTACCACGGAACTCCTCGCCCTCACAACCAGACGTCTGCCGTCCTCCACGGGATTGGAGTCCCTCGCCAAAAATTCCAAGTCCAACGTCGTCTCCGGCACCCACCGGGCATAGTGGACACCTTCCCCATCATGGAAAGGCGTCACCCGGAACCTCATCCGAGGCCCCACGATAATCCTGACAAAATGCCCATTTATACATCACACAACCCACGCACCAAATACACCCTCCCCTGGGAACAAGTCAATTTACTTACTCCAGATTTGGGTCCACGGACGACCTTCCTAATTTGAGCTCGTTTGGAAGAAACCTGCTATGCAGATTCAAATCGTCCCGGGGCGGAAAGAGCGCAATCTCACGGGACCAACTGGGATGACGGAGGACCACGCAACTCCCGTCCGTCAGCCCCAAATCTTCAGGCCCCATCTCTTCGGAGGGTCCGTCCTCCAAGATCCAACACGCAAAATGGACCCCCCGAATCTTCTCGGTGATGAAGAAACGCAGCCCCCTTCCCCAGGACACCCTGCAATAACGACCAACTTTAGGTTTACCTGCCCTTCCCATCACCAGGACCTTGTTATTTCTCATTATCATCTCTTAATCATATAATCATACATTTTTCCCCCAATCAATAAAGGGGACACGTCCAATCCGCTCCCTGCGATGGGCAGATAGGGCACGACATCCCGCACTATCGGCCCAGTAGATAATTCTTCGATTACCACCATGGTCTAAACACATCAACCAACACATGTTACTAATAATTTTTTTTTTTATCATCATTATAATCCCATCTTAAGAACAGGTAACCATAACTACTCATAAGGACAATATTAATTTCCGTAATTTTTAGCCCAGTATTAATCACCATTATTGTTTACCAATTTTTTCTTTAATTGTTAGAGTACTTTTTATTTTACATTAATTTCTGTTACATTCTAAGACATTTTAATTGTAGGATCTATGAACTAATTTAGATAACTCTTGACACTCATAACTCATCGTCTATTACTTTTAGTATTTTCGTCATCACACCATTGTTTTCACATCTGGCACTCCTCTGTCTTTGGCTCACTCTGCTTCGACCTGCCGGGCACATATATATTTTTCAGACAGCTCCAATCCGGTCACTACACACATGCAGTCCTCCTCTCCCAATTTTAATAATTTTCATTTTTTTTAATTTTTCAATCTCTAAATTTTAACAATTTTCCTATCTAAGAATTTTAATTTTTACAATTTCTCAAACTCCCAATTTTAACAATTTTCCTACCTAAGAATTTTAATTTTTATAATTTTTCAAACTCCCAATTTTAATAATTTCCCTATCTAAGAATTTTAATTTTTGCAATTTTTCAAACTCCCAATTTTAACAATTTCCCTATCTAAGAATTTTAATTTTTGGCAATTTTTCAAAATCCCAATTTTAACAATTTTCCTATCTAAGTATCTTAATTGTTTCCATCAAAATCTGCTACCTCATTTTTAATTTTTCGTTAATAATTTTCCGACTTTCCTACATAAGTTTTAAAAATTTGTTTTAGTTTTTTCTTTAATTTTACCAGCCATGCACGCATTTATGCATGCATTTTATTCTGCTAAAATACCTCCCCATTATCCCAAGCAACCAAAATCTGCAACTATTGTACTAAATTTGTACAACTGGATTAATGCATATTTTCCGTGAAAATGTGAAGCCGACTTGTGATTATTTTGTACAAGTCGCATGTACAAAATTCATACCAATAATTTGTCACTACAAGTTTACTTGTACCAAATATGCACAAAATTAACACAAACAAATATGTGAGAATTTTGTGTAAATTTGGTGATGATTAATATGCATTAATGAAGTGAGAATTTGGTGCGAATCTAGTGCGAATTTAGTGCGAATCTATTGCTAATTGTGTGCTAATGGTACGCATGAAATTAATACAAATTCATTTATACGTATTACTCATAGTTCAATTATTATTTATTTATTACAAATTCATCTACTGTATTTCTACAATAATGTTATCTCCAAATACTTCACTTATTAAAAGATAATTGCAAATTGGGATACACAAATATTTATCGTAATTAATCTGCAGAATTCGTACTTACGGAGTATAGAGAAAGACTAAATTAAAATGAATTCCTGGACAATATTTCCTTATTCACCTCAGGCTCTTCTGCTGATAATTTAGGCTGGCCGTTTGTCGACATGAGTCGATAGGTTTATTCCTTATACATATGTGTTCTCAACGTATGAATCTATAAATTATGCAAAACGTATATTTTATTTACATAAATAACCCGAATATATATTAATGCAAAAGTAGCTAACAACAATATGTATGTATATATGTAATTACCGTATTTTCCGGCATATAACACGCCATTAGTCGTCCAATCTTTTGAAATCCACGTAGACGGCACAATCTTGGCCCTTTGTCGACTTCAAACTTGATGAATACGAACTTTTGTCCGACATAAGATCGACCCTAACTATCTATCTAAATAAATTTTTTCGTTGGAAATTAAAAATGGAGAAGAAATGATGGAGTTGACGTCACGGCATGGCAAAAAGAATAACTGACTTGAGGTGGGTTTATTTAATCGCCAATAGAGAAATGTTACTAATTTAGTAGTAAATGATTACAGAATAATCGGTACGAATTTCGTGTAAATATACTGGCACCTGTTTACTGCATTTTGATTTTGTACAATTTCCCACGTACGAATTATGCATGAATTTGGTGCAAGAAATCTCATGAAAATTTAGTGCTAACAAATACGCACTAAATATTCACTTGTTCCTTTGTAATAATTTGCTACTTATTAAGTTGTGATAGTTTAGTGGATTTCTTGTGCTAATTTATTAGTAGCACAAAACTTGATACACATTTTGCACGAATCTTGTACAAATTAATGATTACAACTTTTTATGCACAAAAATTGCATAAACTTGCATTGGAATTCGCAGTAAATTCGCATTGAGGTTGCTTGGGATATTTCATTCACGAACACACTTTACGTCAACAAAGTTTACATGCAATTGTCCACCCACCACCATCGTGAATACATACCCCTCCATACTTAATTGAAATAAAACACAAATTTACTTACTTTTTTGACGAATTTTCCCGACTTTTCTGAATACGTTGACGCCAAGTAGGTACACAGAATCTGACTGAATTAAATCTCGCATTTTTTCGTTTGTTGCGGTAGGGCCACCGCTTACTAAAGGTGGATATTGTGAAAGAGCAGGTTTGGTCAACTTCATTAATGCCAAACCCCTTAATTAGTATGCCGCTCACCTCCATCATCTCATACAAACCAGAGACAATGTTGCAAACCAGCTTCGTCACAACCTCATCTGAGATATCTCTATTCAGCGTGGCCAACCGGTTCATAATCGGTCAACACATAGGTATCAATTAGGTATTGCTAGGATATATAAGCGAAAGCGCAGCCACCAGACGAGCACGGTGGAGGACGAGTCCAGGAAGTATTTTGTGCTACTGCATGTTACCTCTCCCAATATTATTGGGAGAGGCCGAGTTCTGCCTGTTGTACAAGTGATAAATAAAACCTCTATAAGAAAAGTGCAACCAAGTCTCATCTCGCCTCACAATTATTACGCACACACCACAACAACGACGACGATCGTCTCATCTGCCTCATCACTACCATCACTGCAGTCAACCCCCCATAAACGGAACTTCACACCTATCCGGGAGTTGCTGCCTAGAGGAGTTGATACCGCAACTTTGTGTACACAGCGTGGGAGTAGGACACGTTTTGGTACTCGGGTAGGCTCTAAAGTGATGATAGTTTAGTCGAGCGGAAATTTGGACGCATTTTATAAATTGAAGAAAAACCATACTTTCGAAATATTTTTTTTGACTTTTTCGAGTTAATACAGTATATTTACCTGCTAAGCTACAACATAATACAAGAAAATGTCAAAATTATCAAAATTCTGAAAAAAAGTCAAATTATTCTCCCATTTCAACATGTGTATCAGCATGAAAGTACAGTCATCATCAATGAAAAATTAGTAAAATTTTGTTGCTAAACTTTTTTCTTTCGGGGTTTTTGAATGATTTAGACTAGTTTACATCGTAGAAGCAATAATTGAATGAAATTCAGAAAAAAATATGGATTTTGATGCATAAATTGACAAAATCAACACATACGTTTTAATTGTAAAAACAATAAAAATGGTAAATTTTTATATTTTTTATACTTGTTTACGTATTAAAATATGAAATATATGCCCAAAATCAAGGTATTATCTAGCAAAACAGTAAAAATAGTTAGAAATTTGTAGCACCGGTATTACATTAACACGTGGTTAGGTTAGGTTAGGTTGGTTACTATAGTAACCAACCTAAGCACGTGGTTGGGTTAGGTTAGGTTGGTTGCCATACCATAGCAACCTCCACAACGCAGCCTAACCACCTCGCTGAAAAAAAACGTCATTCATCATCAATCACAAGAAATTCAAAAAAATTGTAATTTTTAACATATTTTTTTTATTTCAAAAACTTGAAAATATTAACTAATTTTTTATGAACTTTTGGAAATTTCGTCAGCCGAACAACTCAAAAGAGAATACCGTATGTACTGTAAAAACGGGTGAAGTTTGCAGCTCTGACGTCATTTCGCTCCTCCTAGCAGGGAGGTATTGAGCAGTGTAGTGCTGGAGCCACCACCACCGCTCATGAAATAAATAAAATAACTCACTTCTGGAAATCCCAATTGGCGTTCAAATTTTACATATTCTTTATTTATTATGATATATTATTCATTGTCGTCAGAATCAGAAGAGCTAGAATCGGAAGAATCATTTCCTGCAGTAATTATAATTTGAGCCATCTTCGGGTTAGAAATAAATTCATCAACAAGCTTATCCCTATCCCACATACGATCCTCATATTTAATCGCATGCTTTACACAACGGCTCCATAATTCAGGTGTTACTTTTAAAATAGCTAATTTTGCCAACTCTAATATTCCCTCAGCATTATTGCCTTTATTATTAGTAGCAATGTCATTTTTTATGAATGACCAAACTAATTCTATGGGATTGAACTCACAATGAGCTGGAGGTAACCACAAAATTCTTATATTTTTCCCGGAGGCTTCGGCAATTTCTTCTACAATGAATTTCTTCGGCTTCGGATATTTTTTTGACAGCGCTATTAAAGTTTGTTTCGTCATAGTGCAGAAGTTAGAAACATTCTCTGGCAATGGAATAGCGTTTCTTTCAAACCAAGCTAGTATGTCTGCCTTTAACCACGCCATGGTTGGCATAATTGAGTCTTTTACCTATAATAATTGTTAAATAATGTAAGATAAATGCACGAATTTTAATATTTAGCAATTATTACATTGCAACTTACCCTTTTTTTGTGGTAAGGGGCCTGGTTCAGCACTAACACCGATTTGTCTGGCACCAATCCGACAATTTTGGCAAACCAAGCCAAAAATCCTAATTCGTTGCCAATGTGGTTAATTATAATGCGTCCGTTTGCCGACTTCAATAAAAATCCCCCTGTTTCCGTAAAGAGAAATTCATTTTAATTTGCAAATAGATATTTACTAATAATTTTCTTATCAGCAATATTTTAAGTTTGACCTACCAGCATAACCGTTCATATCCCGCAAACAGTCGCCACCCCAAAACCCCGTCATGTCTTTATACTCTTCATCAGATAATAAAATCTGCCAGCAACGACTCCTCGCTTGATCAGGTGACGCCCAGGTTTCATCAGAGTAGAATACTGAGTATCCTTCTTGGCGAAACTTGCGAATACTTCTTAGGTAGAATTCTCGTTGGGCGACGATGTCGTAGCGTTCCAAGAACACAGGTTTTTTATTGATTTTTCGGTACTTAAATTTGCATTCATTTATCATCCACTCCCTAAACAACGTTAGTTTGATTCTTGGAAATTCGGGATTATCTAAGCAACGATCAAGTAACTTTCTGGCCGTAGGATATTCTTTATTTTTATAAAATTCCTGATTTAATCGTCTTATCATAGAGATAAAAAATTCTTCGCAAACTATTTTTTTTGAGCTGAGTTTTTTTACTGATTCAGTATTTAATTTGGCATCGTTGATTTTAATTCCATATACTGATCTTTCTGATATACCTAGCAATTTAGAGATTTTCTTATTAACATTGTTTATTCCTAGCTCTTTAAAAACTGTTTGACATTCGCTTGATGTTGAGAACTGTCCGATTTGATTATCCTCAGAGTTGTGGTCACCGTGTAGCTCGTCTTGAGAATTAAAACTGTTTTCCCCACAACTTAAATTTAGTATTTTATTTTTTGATTGAATGAATTCTTCTAACTTATTCTTCACTTTGTTGATAAATATTCCAATTTCCGATATTGCATGCTTAACGTTCAATTTATCAGTCGAAATGTGTCTTTTTTTTGAAGGGGGTTGATTCTCGTCTGACATGATATCAGTTATCAAATGATCAAGTAAAAATTAAATAATAGTTGTCAAAATAAACTAGTATTTGAATTACTAAAAATGAGCTATCAGCGTGTGCGTAATGGTGATAAATAAACATTTACCATCTGATTCGAATAATAAATAAAGAATATGTAAAATTTGAACGCCAATTGGGATTTCCAGAAGTGAGTTATTTTATTTATTTCATGAGCGGTGGTGGTGGCTCCAGCACTACACTGCTCAATACCTCCCTGCTAGGAGGAGCGAAATGACGTCAGAGCTGCAAACTTCACCCGTTTTTACAGTATGTATGCATTGTTGCAGCGTGCTGACGATATGCAAATGAGGAGCTCAAGTGTGAACGAGTACACGACTTGAGGAGAGAAGCACCAGCAGCAGATTTGCATAATCCGCCGTCGTCGTCGACTACTTCATTTGGCCATATATAAGGAAATACATATATGTACAAGTTAGAACAACAACGTTGACAAGTTAATAATATTTTTTCGTCATAACTTTTCATGTTTCAAGTTTTTATCACGATATTGCAGACTAATTTATATTGTAAACGAATTAAATTACAAAAATTGATGCATTTTGACACAAATTGGCAAAATAAGTGCACATCTTAAATTATTAAAATGACAAATATTGGCAAACTATAATAAGTTTTAAGTCTTTATTTTCATATTCTAATGTTTTTTTTTGCAAACTTTGCTTTTTTTGCAAATTTCAGTTCCATCATAATAAATATCAAAAAATCATGAATACAATGAAGCATGTAAAATTTATAGAGTTACCATGACAACACAGTTCTCTCGCTGAACCACCATGGGTAAGCAATATATTGTACGCATATGTACCTATTAACTCGAGCTCTGCAACCACACTTCCCCCGGAATTGCAGCCGAGCGAAGTTGATACCGCGACTACTACTTGTCTATTAAGCAAATGAGCGTACAAGCTCATTTCCTATCCCGGAGTTGCAGCCGAGCGGAGTTGACACCGCAACTTTGTGCACACGGCGTGAGAGTTGGAGACGTTTCTCTCGGCTCGGCTCGAAAGTGACGATAATTTAGCCGAGCGGAAATTTGGACGCATTTTATAAATTGAAGAAAAACCATACTTTCGAAATAAATGTTTTCACTTTTTCGAGTTAATACAGTATATTTACCTGCTAAGCTACAACATAATACAAGAAAATGTCAAAATTTTCAAAATTCTGAAAAAAAGTCAAATTATTCTCCCATTTCAACATGTGTATCAGCATGAAAGTACAGTCATCATCAATGAAAAATTAGTAAAATTTTGTTACTAAACTTTTTTCTTTTGGGGTTTTTGGATGATTTAGACTAGTTTACATCGTAGAAGCAATAATTGAATGAAATTCGAAAAAAAGATGAATTTTGAAGCATATATTGACAAAATCAACAGAAATGTTTTAACTATAAAAACGATGAAAACGGTCAGTTTTTATATTATTTATACTTATTTACGTATTGAAATATGAAATATATGTTCAAAATTAAGGAATTATCTAAATTACCAAAACAGTAAAAACAATTAGCATCACTGGTATTATGTTACCACGTGGTTAGGTTAGGTTGGTTGCCATAGCAACTGCCCCAACCCAAACCAACACAACCTAATCTTGCTGCCATCAGCGCCGTTTATCATGAATCACTCGAAATCCAACCAAGTGTAATTTGTAGCATAATTTTTTATTTATTTATTTTATTTCAAAAACTGAAAAATATTAAGTAATTTTTTATGAAATTTTGGAAAATTCGTCAGCCGAACAACTCAAAAGATAATACCGACACCGGTGTATGCATTGTTGCAGCGCGCTGGCGATATGCAAATGAGGAATGAAAAACAGGCAGACCTACACACCCACACGATAAGAAATGTAGCTCTGTTAGATAGATAGCTCAACTTGCCTCAACTTGGTGCGGTGCACGGGCCTTTCCACACTTAGCACCAGAGCACGTCCACACAGAAAAGTGTGCATCATATTACAATACAACAAATGATCTGAACGAAAATCATTCATTTTATGGGTTATAATTTAATCAAAATAGCGGAAATAAGTTTTCAATTTTTTCACGGCGGTCTCGAAAAACAAAAACGTTGTCAATTTTTGAAATTTGGTATAGAAATTATGGTAAAATTGCAGTACAGCGGCCTAGCTCGGATTTGACTGAAATTTTTTGTGTGAATACCCTAAGGTCCCATATGCATAAAAATACCTTTTTTCGCGGCGGTTTCAAAAAATAAAATTTCTAAAAATTTTTGAAATTTTGTATAAAAATAATTTTTCTCTTAGATTTTCATGAAAATGGCTTTTGAAAAAGGAGAGCTAGCTAGTAGTGCTACCTAGGAGAGCTAGCTAGTAGTGCTACCTAGGAGAGCTAGCTAGTAGTGCTACCTAGGAGAGCTAGCTAGTAGTGCTACCTAGGAGAGCTAGCTAGTAGTGCTACCTAGGAGAGCTAGCTAGTAGTGCTACCTAGGAGAGGAGAGCTAGCTAGTAGTGCTACCTAGGAGAGCTAGCTAGTAGTGCTACCTAGGAGAGCTATCTGGGAGAGCTAGCTAGTAGTGCTACCTAGGAGAGCTATCTGGGAGAGCTAGCTAGTAGTGGTACCTAGGAGAGCTAGCTAGGAGTGCTGGAAACTAGAAATCTCATCTTACCCCGAAAATCTGATTTTACTACAAAATATTCCTATCGTGTGGGAAACTGAGAATTATCAGCCAAATCCGAGCTAGTCCACTGAAATAAATCCGAGCTAGGCCGTAATTTTACCAAAAATAATTTACAAAATTCACTCCCCAATCACTACAGAAGAGAATAAGAACCAGTTCAAAATAATAAATTAAAGAAGGAAGGTTGAAGTTTATTAATTATTTGGAACATTTGTTATAATTTATAATTAATTCTCCAGTATAATTATTCGACTTGAGTAAACAAGAGGAGAGAAAAACAGAACGAGAGTGGGCATGGATGAGTGTTCAAAAGTTGTTTTCCCACGTCCAAAAAGCATCCTCGCGAAAGAAACAGTCTATTCCAAGATATATTTTGTCGTATGCTACACACCAACCTCACAGGACGACTCGACAGCAGATTTGCATGGAATATTATTTAATCCGTCGTCGTCGACTACTTCATTTGGCCATGTATAAGGAAATACAAGTAAGTGTCAACGTTGATACACTACTACGTAGCTAATAACAATCGTGCTGTCCCCAGAGCTCAATCGCAAAAAATGCTATTACTTAATTGTAATTTTGTTTGAATTTTTGGTTTTATAATTTCAAATCTTGAAAAATATTAACCAGTTTTTAATGAAATTTTGATAAATTCATCGGCCGAACGACTCAAAAGAGAAATACTGAGGCCCGTGACATGCATGTATGTATGCATGTTGAACAGCGTGCTGACGAAATGAGTCGAACAGCAAGTGTGAATGAGAGGCGGACTACCTCATACGTACGCACGACTTGAGAAGATGCATGGATTTTTGCATGGATTAGGATTTGCATGCATACTCAGTAGTCGCGTCGTCGACTTTTACTTTGTTCATAAAATAAATGCTTCTTGTCTTAAACTTACAATTTGGCGTACAAGTTAATCATTTTTTGTATTAATATTTTTATTTTTATGAAAATATACATGGTTGCATTAAAGTGTTACTATAATTGCTCCACTATGTTTATGCCCATTACTTGGTATGCATTTTGACACATAAATTGGTTAAAATAGTGAAAAATTGGCATTTTGACAGCTATATTGTTACAAATGCATATGTACACAGTGCTTGCTAACATATACATGGTAACCATTACTAAAGTATGTACTTACATCACCAATTAAGACAAATACCGTTAGAAATGATTAAGTTTGACGATATTTATTTAAAATTTAATATTTTGTGAAAACTCACACTATATTGGCTTACAAAATTGTCAGATTTATAACATTTAAATTGTTTAACAACAGAATCGGGGTAGCTTCATATGTATGCATGTGTAGGTTGGCATGGTAGATTGGATTTTTTTCAAAGTGCATACACGAGGCACAGACCAGACTCTTAACAAACAAGTTACAAGAGTAAACCCATTTGAAGCGAAAGGGTTAAGCCGTACATAACAGGATATGTGGTAGAACATTTAAACGACGGAGATGAGCTTTTGGTGCATCAGATACTCACGGGAATGCTTAAATTCGCTTTTACAAACCAGGCTACTGGTTCTCTTGCTTAATTTTGTTATATATCCCAAAATCTTCATGGAGAGGGGAAAAAGAAGGAAGAAATAAGAAGGATAAAGTAAAGAGGCTGTATTATTATTGTGCGACTACTACGACTGGTTTAATAAATCGACTGCGGAGATTCATTTGCTGCTGTTAGAGTGGCCTTGTAATGAGGTATAAAAAAAGTGAATTTCTAAGGTTGTGACTGTTATTCCTGGTACATGTATAGTCGCGTTTTTCGATGGCCGCTTTGACCTGTCTTGCTTTACAGATTCCAAAAGTGTTTTCCACATACTCTTCATACCTTTTGAACCGATAAATCTCTGCTACGTGTACAATTTCAATGTATTTTGTAATATGTACAGAGTCTCTTAGCCGAAATCAAGCTCAAATGACGGGGGTACCCTACGAAATTTTGAGCAAAAGTACCGGCAGAGAAACCGCTCGCAACAAGCAACACATGAATGGCTGGTTTGAAAAATGCTATGTAAAACTTGTGCTTGTCAGTGGTGGTTTGGTTCGTTAACGAAAAGGCCTGTATGTATTTACAGTTTAAAGCTTTTGTCGTTTGCCTTCATCTTTAATAGAGATGGACAAAATAACCAACGAAATCAGAGGTTCACAGCCGCGTTTCATTTTGCTTTGGCAGATGTGAGACACAAATGATATGATGTTCCTTTGTAAAACTCCGACCGATAAAACTTTTGAACTCTATTGAAAGTCAAATATATAATATTAGGCTTGAGATGGTTTGTTGCAAAAGTGAATAAATGTTGTTTTAA